CCAGCTCACATTTATGAACTGCAAGTAAACCTGCTGCACCGCACTCACCCTGAGCTCCCTCTCCGCCTCCCTGATGCTGATACACTCATGGTCGCGGTGGGAGCCAATCACCGTGCACACAGTGCACACGCAGGCCGCACACTGTCTGCAGTAGATGCGGTTGATCTCCTGGTGCTCCTGGCACCTCCAGAGGGAAATGTCCTCCATGGGAGAAACCAGGGTGTGATTCTGGAAGACCGGTGATTCCAGGTGAGGACGAAGGTGTTCCTGACACATGGAAGCTCCACACACCAGGCAGGTTTTCACAGCTGGTTGATATCCAGATTTGGGGCAGTAGTGACAGGGGACTTGGTTGGAGCTGTTCTTCACTGATCCGAAGAAAAGAGGGAAGCGGCTCGAGGAACTGGAAGCACCTGCTGAGCTTTTAGCGGACGTCAGAGGAGCTTCCTTCCCTATATTCGACCCCGCTGGACGGCTATCAGAGCGCGCAGGTGAAGCAGGTTTCTTTGGGGAGATGATCGTTCCTGTTGTACACTGAACACTCTTAGGAGACGCGGCAACAGGAGCATCGCAGAGATCTACTTCACTGGAGCTGTCAGAATCATCCGCTGATTCCAATATTCGCTGGTTCTGCTTGCTTGGGACGTCTTTAGGCACATCGCTGTCAGTTGCTTTGCTGTCAGAGTTCTCTGTCGGGGATTTTCCGTCACCAGCTGCAAACTGCAAGAGTTCTGGCTCCGCTGCTCTTGTGGACGTTCCTGCAAAAGCTGAATCCCCAGATTCATCTGAAGAGGAGGTGGTGGGAGTCTCAGTGTTCCTGGGAGACTCTGCAGCTGCTCGCTTTGGGAGATGTTCCTCTGAAACAGGGGTGCTGGCCTTTCTCTTTCCAAGGATGCGATTGGTCAGTGAGGGTCTCCTCAAGTCTGAGGCAGGTGTGCTTTGCTCCTTATGACTGGATGGTGTCCCTGTGGCACATTTGATGCAAGCAGATCAGAAAATGACTGACCTAAGACAATGTTCCACCTTCTGGTTTAAACACATTTTATATCAGACAAAGATCAACATAAGTCAATAAAAAAGCAGCGTTTAAAAAGATTGATTAGATTTTTTTCAAGTAAAAAGCTTTTCTGTATGAAACCGTAGCGAACCCAAATGTTAAATCATGATTTAATTCAGATTGCTGTTTTTTTTTAATACTGAATAATCTTTCTTCTTTTAAATAATTGTCCTGATTAGGTTCATGCTGCAGGATCTAAATCAGTAGTCAGCTTCAAAACTGTTTGACCCACAGAGTTGGATTTCAGGTGATGATTTCGATCAATTTTCTATTACAATATATATTGGTATTGATTTTTTCCTCCACTCTAGTTGTGAATTCCATGTTTATCTAGATGAATTTATCTTCTAATGGAAGAGAGATTGCTTTTTGTGCACTGTTACAAAAAAGGATTTATTGATGACTAAGCAGATAAGGATGTTTCAGTGATTAATATTCAAAGAAAAGAGGAGCAGTTTGAGGCATATTCATTAGCGCTGCAACTAACGATTATTTTGTAAATCGATTAATCTGTCGATTATTTTTTTTTAATTAATAATTGGATAGCAAAAAGTTCCATAAGGCTACTTTTTATGAGATTAAACCAGATGAAACTAAAACTTTTCCACTTGACGGTCTATTTTTGGAAAGAACAGACTGACAGAAAAAAAATTGTATTAATCTTAAATGCAAAATTTTTCTTTACAATTTTGGTATAATTGCTGCTCAGTGCAGGCTGCTCTCACGAATAATCTGTTAAATTGATTCAGCCCCAATTAGCCATATTCCAGTTGTTTGATTTATCTCAGAAAATTCTGCTTTTAATAAGGTTTTAATAAAGATTTGCTGGGTTGTTTAAGTAAATTTATAGTGATGCACAATATTGGGATTTTGGCCGATATCCGATGTGCCGATATTTT